CAATTTGGCACGGACGTTATACCTCCCCTTGTGCCCTTTTCCTCATTGGCTGCACTTGGCCCCCTGGCATTTGTCTTTCCTCCACCCTGTCCCTTTGGTCCCTTCCCCCTTTTGCCCTCTCTCCCTCTGTACAAGCCCCTTCCTCTCCCAGCCCTTCCCCTAGTTTTCTCCCTTCCCCTCGGCACAAGCCCCTTCCTCTTCCACCCTTTCCCCTTTATTCCCCCTCCACCTCCGCACAAGCCCCTTCCTCTCCCAGCCCTCCCCTACCTTCTGCCTTCCACTTTGCGGGGCCGGAGTCTGCACTCCGCCCCAGAAGTCCCCAAACTCTGAACCCGCAACTCAGCTGCACGGTGCCAGCAGTTTTAAAATCCTGGGCTGGGCTGTGACGTCACGTCACGCCCAGGTGTCTCCCCGCGGCACCAGCCGGCAGGTGGGAGCTGATTGAAGGTTGCGCATGCCGGGGCCGGGGCCGGGGGAGAGACGCTCTAGGGCCGGGGAAGAGACCCAGCTTCAAATATTGGTGGAGCAGGGCCCCCGGCTCTAAATATTGCTAGAGCATGGGCACCACAAGCCCAAATAACTCGCCGCCCATGCCCACATCTCCAAGCTCCTGCCTTGAATCCTGAACCTCCCACATGCTGAGCACCCTGCCCTAAAAGACCCAAGCAATGCTAGTTAAATCTTCTAGTTGATAACTAAGTGGATAGTGAATACAGGCAGTCCCCGAGTTACACGGATCCGACTTATGTCGGATCCGCAGTTACAAACGAGGCCCGTCTCCCTGGTCTCCAGCAGACCAAGGAGAGGAAGCAAAGCGGCGGAGTACGCGGGCAGTGAACAGTCCAGATGCGTCTGGGCTGTCCGCTGCCCGCGTGCTCTGCCGCTTTGCTCTGCTTTGCTCCCCGTCCCCCTGGTCTGCACCTCAGGGAGCAAAGCGGAGCAAAGCAGAGCAAAGCAGCTGTCCGCTGCCCGCGTGTTCTGCGGCTTTGCTCCCTGTCCCCCTGGTCTGCAGACCAGGGAGACGGGGAGCAAAGCAGAGCAAAGCCGTGGAGCCCGAGGGCAGCAGGACAGCCACGGCGCGTCTGGGCTGTCCCGCTGCCCCCGTGCTCTGCGGCTTTGCTCCGGACGC